ACCTCAGGCACACTGCGATCAATTCTAGACTCAGTTGCTCCTCTTCGACAGAAAACTCTTACACACGAGAGGCTAGCCCCGTGGTATAATGCTGAAACCCGTGAGCTGAAACAGTTATTAAGAAAATGTGAAAGGATTTGGCGCTCCTCCAAAACAGCTGAAGCTCGTTTTCCCTGGCAGGAATGTCTCGATAAATATAAAACAGCCCTACGACGTGCTCGGACAACCTACTACTCGTCTCTTATTGAGGAAAATAAGAATAACCCCAGATATCTCTTCAGCACTGTAGCCAGGCTGACGGACTGTCAGAGCACCACTGAACCATGTATCCCTTTAGCCCTTAGCAGCGACGACTTCCTGAGCTCCTTCAATGATAAAATCTTAAAAATAAGAGGTAAAATTAGTAACCTATTGACTTCATCAGGTGTCTCTCTCTCAGATAACCCTAAAAATGTTGAGGAGCCCCTAAGGCCTCTGGTGCACCTTAGTAACTTTGCACCTATTGACCTTCCTGAGTTAAAGTCAGTGGTGCTAGCAGCCAAACCATCGACGTGTCTCTTAGACCCAATTCCATCTAAATTGCTGAAGGAAACTCTTCCTTTGATTAGTACGTCCCTGCTCAAATTGATTAACACGTCTTTATTAACAGGATATGTTCCCCAGTCTTTCAAGACTGCATTGATTAAGCCTCTCCTTAAAAAAACCTACTCTGGACTCAAGCTCCCTAGCTAACTATAGACCAATATCCAACCTTCCTTTTATTTCTAAAATCCTAGAGAAAGTTGTTGCGAATCAACTCTGTGATTTTCTCCATAACAACGGTTTATTGGAGGATTTCCAGTCTGGGTTTAGAACCCATCACAGCACAGAGACTGCTCTGCTAAAGGTGTCAAATGACCTACTCATGGCCTCGGACAATGGTTTTCTCTCTGTTCTAGTCCTGTTCGATCTTAGTGCTGCATTTGACACAACTGACCACTCCATCCTGCTTCAGAGACTGGAACAATCTATAGGCATAGCAGGATCAGCTCTCTCCTGGTTTAAATCGTACCTAACAGATCGATCCCAGTTTGTCCATGTTAATAATGAATCCTCTGCACACACCAAGGTCCGCTACGGAGTGCCGCAAGGGTCAGTGCTCGGACCGATCCTCTTCACCCTGTACATGATTCCGCTGGGTAAAATTACGAGGAAGTACTCGATTAATTTCCACTGTTATGCAGATGACACCCAGCTATACCTATCCATAAAGCCAGAGGAAGCAGGCCAGGTTGCCAGGTTAGAAACCTGCCTCAAAGATATAAAATCCTGGATGACCAATAACTTTCTAATGCTCAACTCAGACAAAACTGAAGTTCTGGTCCTCGGTCCTAAACACCTTAGAGAGGCATTCTCTAGTAATTTAGCTACATTTGATGGTATCAGCCTGGCATCCAGCCCCACTGTGCGAAATCTAGGAGTTTTATTTGATCAGGATTTATCTTTTAGCTCCCACATTCAACAAATTTCCAGGACAGCCTTTTTCCACCTGCGCAATATCTCAAAAATTAGACGCATATTGTCTCAGAGCGATGAAGAAAAACTAGTCCATGCCTTTGTTACCTCTAGGCTGGATTACTGTAATTCTCTCCTATCAGGCTGCTCTAGTAAGTCATTAAGGACTCTTCAGCTGGTCCAAAATGCAGCAGCTCGGGTATTGACTAGAACTAGAAGAAGGGAGCACATCTCTCCTGTTTTAGCCTCTCTTCACTGGCTCCCTATTAAATATAGAATTGAGTTTAAAATCCTCCTTGTGACATATAAAGCTTAATGGCCAGGCTCCATCATATCTCGACGAGCTTGTTATACCGTACAGTACGGTATAAATAAATACCGTACTTTCCATCTAGACCGTTACGCTCACAGTCTGCAGGTCTGCTCGTTGTACCAAATGTCTCTAAAAGTAGTATTGGAGGAAGAGCTTTCAGCTACCAGGCACCTCTCCTCTGGAATCATTTACCGCTCGAGGTTCGGGGGGCAGACACACTCTCAACTTTCAAGAGTAGACTTAAAACGTTCCTCTTTGATAAAGCCTATAGTCAGGGCTGATTTGAACCAGCTCTTAGTTATGCTGCTATAGGCCTAGACAGCCGGGGCTATCTGGCACACTGAGCTAGAGTCTGTCTCTATCTCCTCTTTAGATCTTTATGTCCCATATAAGTCACTGACCAGTTTTCTGTCTCTCTGAGTGTCTCTGAGTCTTTTAGCTGCCACTGGACTAATGCTGCAAACGGTCTGCTGCGGAACTGCCTGACCCCAGCTGCATCCACCCTGGGCCCTGAGCTCCTCCATCTCTTTGGCTCCTCTGGACCGTTGCTGCAGACCCCCCCCCCCCCCTCCGCCTCAAGCCCTGAGCTCCTTCTTCTCTTGGATTCCTCTGGACTGTTGCTGTTACTGTTACTGCAGACATGAACATCAGCCTCACTGTCATTATTGACATTAATAATACAAAATAGAACTGACTACGATTAAGCCTGCTAACTGTAATCACACTCAATTAATTCAACATTGTCCATTATCACTCATATCCTAACCCTGTAAACTGAACTTCTTTTTGTTTCACCATTACATGAGCTGTTGTTGTTGTTGCTGTTGTTTCTGTTGCCCCCGTCTCTCTCTCACCCTCGTTCCCTACTCTCTCTCCCTCCCCCTCCCTCTCCGTACTCATTCTCTCTCGCCTTTCCCCTATCTTGTTCTCTCTCTCCCTCCCCTGTCCTCTCCCCCTCTCCCCTCTTCTCTCTACATTCCTCCCCAACCCAGCAGCGGCATGGTGGCTGTCTAGCATGAGGCTGGTCCTGCCCAAGGTTTCTGCCTGTTAAAAGGAAGTTTTTCCTTGCCACTGTAACTCATGTTAGTTGAGATGGGCCAAAACCTATCTTAGGTTGGTTCTTGATCATCAAACAATGAGCGTGGTCCAGACCTGCTCTTGTTCCTTGAAAAGCGTCTTGAGATGACGACTGTTGTGAATTGGCGCTATATAAATAAAATTTGATTGATTGATTGATACATATTTGTACATTGAGGAAAGAAGGATACACAGAAAGAGAAATTGCCAATTGCCTAAAGGTGTTTAACAAAGGAGTCCACTACACTCTGAAGAGACTAGAGGAACCTAGAAGTTATGATGATAGAAAAAGGCCTAGATGAAAGAGACTTACTACAAATGCAGAGGATAAATATAGCATTGTCCCCAGTAAGAGAGATCAGCAAAAGACAGCACCATGAATAAGGGAGGAAATCAACATGACAAGGTCGAAACCCATATCTCTGACAACCGTGATATGACGTTCGAGAAAGGCTGGTCTGAAGGGTTGTGTATCTGCAAAAAACACAACTTCATCCACAGAACAAGAAAAAGATGAGTGGGCAAAAGCTCACAAAAATTTGACTTATGATGACTAAAAAACAAGTTTGCACTGTTTGGTTCAAAACGCAGAGTCTATGTCTGCAGACAAACTGGTAAACATCTGAAAGCACCATGTGTTACACCCACAATTCAGCATGGGGGTGGTAGTTCCATGGTATGGGGATGTTTTGCAGGTGATGGAGAAGGAGATTTGTTTAAAGTAAAGGGTATCATGAAAAAGGAGCAGTACCACTCCATCCTCCAGCACCATGCTGTTCCATCTGGACTCAGACTTATGGCTCATAAGTTTGTTTTGCAGCAAGACAATGACCCTAAGCACGGTCATTGTCCGGTCAGAAACACGCGTACCACGAATCAGCAGTCTCTTTTTAATGAACATAAGAAAGCTAGCTTGGAATGCAATCCCTGGAACATACCTTAAAACATTTTTGGAACGAATGCCTGGTATATGCCAAGCTGTTGTTAAAGCCAGAGGAGGTTACTTTAAAGAAAGCAAAGTCTAAGCAACAATAACTCAAATGCCTAATAATTATAGTCAAAATGTCTTCTGATAAGTTACTCTTTACACAATAGTCATGTTTATTGTGTTGCAAATTATATATATGAAACTATGATCTTGTTTGTACAAATCTGATCTTGCGTCCAAACTTTTGGCCTGTAATGTACATAAAGATAAATAGCATTCATAAAAGCACTTCAAGATTCTCCAGACACAAGAACTGGGAATCACCACTCTGAGCTCCTTTGCTCCATGTAGGCAGATCATAAACTGTCTAGATGTGGCAACCCAGGACAACTTTAGCTCCTCCAGGTTCAGTCTTCTAATCTAGGCCTGGGAATGTAAAAATCAGAAAACTACAATCTTATATTTAGAAATGGTTTACCTAATTTTCCTTCTGTGAAACTATCCCATTAGTCATGCATACCTGATCATCTGTACCTGTGCGAAACTTGCCCCACACCCAGGGGCGATTCTAGTATCAGAGCTTTGGGGGTGCTGAGACCTCAAGTGCTGGCCAAGATAAATTTCTCTTTTTTTTTTTTGAATATTTTAACACAATTTTGGCCCATCATTCCCACATTTCTGAAAGAAAAGCATAACACTTAGAGGATACACTGTGACTAAACTAACAAATCTCAGAAAAGTTATTTCAATGCTGAGCTACAGCAAAAGATAAATGAATTGGAATACTGATCAAAGCAGACTTTATCCCTGAACCTGTATGGACAAATGCATGTAGTTCTGGAGGAAGTCAACTCATTTTGAACACATGTAGATACACATACACATAAACAGTACATATGTATGTTTCTGGAGTAAAACAGCCCCCCTATAGTGAGTACCAAAAATACCAAATATGGACCTTAGTCTTATTTTTGGATTTTTATTTAAAATGCAACAGAATGCACAACATATAAAACACATGAACAAAAAATGACTTTTTCAATGTTTGGCTCAAAAAAGAAAAAGTGCTTGAAATCTTTATAATATTAATACTACCAACAATAAATAATAATAAAATAACTAATAAGAGATAATCATGCCTAAGGAACAATGTATTTAATCATCTTTGTATGATGCAGATGATTCCTTTTACTTTAATCTATGTCTCCTCACCTTGAGGGTAGCAAATCTGTCAATTACTTTTTGGTCTTCAACTCTCTCAAGCATCTCTTTCTCAGTTGACATCACAGCCAGGTGCTGGAGTCTGGGTTGACCCGTGGTCCTCCTCATCCAGGTATGGAGCTGGTGCAAGGCACTAAAAGACCTCTCACAGCTACAGCTGCGAAATGGTATTGTCAAGGCAACCTGAATAACAGCTTTCAGTGAAGGGAACATGTCACAATCCAGGAGTCTGTACACTGTCAGCATGTCTTGAATGGCACCACCCTCACTCTTGGGCACTAGAAAGTTTTTGGCAACCATCACTTCCTCTGACTTTAGTTCAATATGGTAATGCAGTGCCAGTGCTGACAAATGCGGCTCAGAAAAGAAGTGATCTGAGGTTGGACTTCACGTCTGAATTCCATGAAGAAAGTCCTGATTCACACCAGAAAAACGATTCTCAAGTTCAGAGATCATTCCGTCCAGACAATGAAACAACAATTCCCTTTTGAGTTCTTCTGACTCAGATGAAACACAGACTTCACTACCTGCCCCACAAGTTGACTCAACAACAAATCCATCCATTCTGTTTTACGCCTCTGCCCAGAAGACTGCTCCAAGATTGCTATCTGATTTGCTTCACATATAGCTTTTGTTCTTGCATGAAGATCGGTAGCAGTGGGATCACTGCGTTTTTGTTCCAGAGTTGTAACCACTGCCTCTTTGTATGTCACCGCTTGGGCAATATCAATGGTCTCCTCTGTAGGTATCTGTGTAAATCTGCTGTTACAGACAGAAAACAATCAACAAATACACCAATGAGAATTTACTGAGTTTGGCCTTTCATCCCACTGCCATAGGTGTGTTAACAGTGGAAAGACACTCAATGATGGCAGGGAAATTGTCAAGCACTGCCGTCACTGAGCGAAGCTGGCATGACCTGTGTGTGTCTGATAACTGCACAAGTTCTCTTCGGTCCAATCCTAACTTTCTTTGAGCCTCAACAAACTTATGATGGTTCACAAGTGAGACACTAAAGAAAGAATAGAGACTTTCCAGCATGTTGAAGAGCTCTGTGGCTTCAGAAACAGCTCTGCATGTATGACATAAGACGAGATTCAACTCATGTGCGTAGCAGTGCACATATATTACCTCAGGGTGCTGCTTTTGAAAATGGGCTTGCACACCCCCAACTACCTCATGACAGCTGCCCCATCGTAGGTCTGTACAACACATTTCAACTGATCAATTCCCTTCTCTTACAATTGATTCTTAATTGCTGTGGTTATTGAGGCAGCATCAAACTGTGGCATTTCTGTAAAGGCTAGGAACCTCTCATTAACAGCACCCTCCACAGACACATACCTCACACAGAGTGCCAACTGTTCAATCTTTTCATCTCTGGCCTTAACAGCCATAATGGCATACATCTTTGATTCCCTCATCTCAGTAACAATAGCTGCAGTTACCTCTTGTGGACAGCATTCAATCATCTCATTCTGACTGCGATACCAGAGGTTTGTGGTGTTTGATGGGGGAGTATGCTTCTGCAAGAATAGATCAAATCTTTTCAAAAGTGCCATGCACTCTAGGAAATTCCCTTTATTGTCGCTCTCTTCTGTTTCATCATGACCTCGAAATGCTATTCCTTGCTTCTCCAAGAAGCAGGTCACTGCCACAATACATTCCAGGTACTCTCTTCTTTCATTAATTTCACTGGCACTCGCTGCCTCTATCTACTCCACAACAGTACCTTGTGACAGACTTGCTTTGTAGCTGTTCCAACGAACCACACTGTCCTTGTGTGACTGAGTGGTTTTGTGTTGTTCAGTGCCTTTTGCCAGTTACTAACTCCATCATTTACTAATGCGTCATGTCTGAGATTTTTGCCAAATACCCGACAAGCAAAGCAGAAAGCAGCATTTTTTTTAGCAGAATATTCCAACCATTTAAAACTTTTGAACCAGCTTTCTTGAAAGGCTTTTTTTGTGTGCCAAATTGATTAAATGGGTACTGAGACATTTTTAACTATTTAGGACCAGAAGTCTTATCCCCTAAATCAAAAGAAAAATCTCTAGATCCTGCCTACTTCGGCTTGGTGGCTTGTACGCTGCTCTCTCTTTCTCTTCATGTCCTCTGCTGGTTTGCAGTCATTCATTATCCGGACACTCTCCCTGTTCTTCTCCTTCTTTTAAAGTAAAACTAAGCAAATAGTAGAGAATACATAGTTGATTAGGAAAATGTAAAAAAGATGTCCTGTTTAAAATGAAGTACACTGGCGTGTGTTCAGTGTACATGTGCCTCTGGAAAGCATTAAATGTGGGAAAACACGTAACTTCCAGGATGTACTGTATATGCAATGTTTTTATCTCTCAGCTTAACAGTTCCTTATTCTCTGCCTGTTTTCTTGCCTGGTTCTTCCTGGTCCTGCACTCTATTATCAGCTCCTTCCCCTCTTACTTCACTCCTCTTTGCACTGTCAATCATACACAAATATTGCATTCAACTAGAGGAAAAATGTCATTAATTTGAAAAAAGAAATACTAATAACAATACAATACTAATAAAGAAAGTCCTCTTTCTGCTTCTCTCTCACTGTGTATGGTCAGCCAAATAAACAACCAACCAATGTCCATGTAGATTCTCATTCTTACAGGTACAGGGCTGAGACAAACAACCAATGTGTTTTTTTATATCTATAAAGTGATGTAAACTGATAAACTGATCCAACTTTTATCATTTTTAAATATTTGGTTGCTGTGGGAAATCAAGTCATACCATGTAATCACACACTCTTACCTGCACCTGGCTCTTTTTTCTGAAAAAAATCTTATATCCATGATGTCTGTCTGCACACACACACACACACACACACACACACACACACACACACACACACACACACACACATAATAGGAGTTATATAATGTTATTAGGCATCAGTTCAGTCAGTTTTGCTTTATACAAACTGAGGAGTGAGGACAGTGGCTGACTGGCCACTTGTAATCCTAGCAAGAAAAAGCGTCAGCTAACTCCTACCTAACAACATAAACATTTATCTAGGATTCAATGCAGCAGAAATACAGACTGGCGACAGGAACGTGTTGCTAATGCTAGCCATTGCAAAAACAGGGATAATTCCCGAATAGCGGCCCTCTCCCGGTGACAGATGAAAGTCAGCGTGTACTGTACAGCCCAGTTTGGTCTAAAATTCCCGGACTGATCACCCCAGCATGCCCCTGTGTGGCAGAAGTATCATCCTGGCTTGGGCCAAGTACTTACATGTCACACTGAGAAACCTCATCGTAAGTGAAGGGCTCAGAGCGAGGGAGAGGGAAAGGAAGGGGTCGAACCATTTTCGAAGCATGGGAGTGCTGCTTTATTTTTGTTGTTAAAATATTACATTTAAACCCTATCCTGTATATGTTTTTAACATTTACCCAGCTTATTAAACATAGACTGTTGGGGGAAAAAAAAAAAAAAAAGATCTCTTAAAGTTTAGGAGTGCTTGGGTTCAATTTAGGGATGCTGCAGCACCCCCAAAAACATGCTAGAACCGCCTATGTCCCCATACCAGGCAAAATTTCGGGAAAATAGTCGTTTGAGTTGGTTGGTGCCATCAAAATTTTCGTTTATGCTGCTTAAGTTTTTAAGTTATCAAATATTAATTAACAGTTCATCCAGAGGTCACCCAGCCCCCCTTATTTGCTCCAAATGGACCTGAAATGGTGCCCGTCGTTGGTGCTTTGTTTGTGCTTGTTTGTGCCATAAAAATTTTCATTTGCGCTGCTTTGGTTTGAAAGATGTTACACACTTTTATTTTTGGCGATGTCGTTACCCAGCCCCCCAAGATATAAAAACTTAAAACCGTCACTGTACAAACATACATTTCGCGGCACAAACCAGCGCAAATGAAGCATTAACAGACAGCATCGTTTCACATCCATTTGGAGCAATGGGGGGGGGTTGGGTGATCTCTGGATGACCTATAAAATAATATTTGATAACTTAAAAACTTAAGCAACACAAATGAAAATTTTAACGGCAAAAAACAACACAAATGAAGCACTAAGGTATGGCACCATTTCAGGTCCATTCAGAGAAAATTGGAAGGGCTGAGTGACATCTTCATTGAAAGTTGAAGTGTGTAATAACTTAAAAACTATAGAAATAATAATAATAGATTTTATTTGTAACGCACCTTACATTAAAAAATCTCAAAGTGCACAACAAGACAACAATAACAGTAAAAACCAAGCAACAGGGCAAAACAATAAAAAAAGTCAGCAGATAAAATCAGATAAAATTAGTCCGGGTAGGCTTTCCGAAAGAGGAAGGTTTTGAGTCCTTTTTTAAAAGCATCCACTGACTGTGGAGCCCTGAGGTGGTCGGGGAGCAGCAGCCTCAAAGGCCCTGTCACCCATGGTCTTGAGCCGAGTCCTGGGCGGGCGCAGACGGTGCAGTTGGCCTGACCGGGTTCTGGCTGAGGTATGTGGGGTGAGGAGTTCGGTGAGGTAGGTGGGGGCTGCACCGTGCAGACAGTGATGGGTGTGAAGGAGGATTTTGAATTCAATGCAGAGGTGAACGGGGAGCCAGTGCAGAGTGCGAAGCATGGGGGTGATGTGCTCATGTTTACGCACTCTCATCAGGACCCGGGCAGCGCTGTTTTGGACATGTTGTAGCCTTTGTAAGCTCTTGCCCGGGATCCCAATGAGAAGCGCGTTAAAGTAGTCCAGCCTGGAGGAGACAAAGGCATGGACGAGTCTCTCTGCTGCAGGACGAGAGAGAAATGGCCGGAGTTTGGCGATATTACGGAGGTAAAAGAAGGAAGTCTTGCAGATATGGTTGATGTGATAGTCAAAGCTAAGATGGGGGTCAAACCTGACTCCCAAGTTAGTCACAGAAGGAGAGAGGGAAAAGTTGTGGCCGAGAAAAGAGATGGATGAAAAGTGGGTAGAACGGAGCTGGTGGGGAGTACCAATGTGAATGGCTTCTGTTTTGGAGCTGTTCAGCTGTAAGAAGTTTTCACTCATCCAAGCCTTTATCTCCTCTAGGCAGGAGTCCAGTTGGGTGACAGAGGAGGGGGGAGTGGAGGAGGGGGTGACCTTGAGGTAGAGTTGTGTGTCGTCAGCATAGCAATGGAATTGTATTCCATGCCTGCCGACGACACGACCAAGGGGGAGCATGTAGATGGTGAAGAGGGTTGGACCGAGCACGGAGCCCTGGGGGACCCCACAGACAACAGTGTGAGGGCGGGATTTAGCATCCCCTAGGGCCACGAACTCAGTCCTTCCCGTGAGGTAGGAGTGAAACCATTGAAG